AAAAAATATGAGATGCCCTCTAAAAAAAAAAAAAAAAAAAAGAATAACTTTTAGTGGTAAGGTACCATTTTTTGGGTGTTTAGTTTAATGGGTCTAGTTTAATGACCATGCATGTTAACCCAGGAATCGTATACCCTTCTTTGTAGTCAACAGGCATTTAAAAATAAACAGCCAGTGGCTAATGATACCAGTCTCCAACCTTATCTTCCACATTGAAGAGTGGCTTGACATGTTCCCTGTAGAACTCCAGGGGTGTTATGGGGCCAATCTTCTGATAATTTTTATCTTTGTCTTGATACTCCCAGGTGAATGTCTCTGGCGGATTACCCACACAGATGTTGTGAGATCCTAACATTCTCTGATAATGTCACAACACCTTCAAGTTAGCATCATTACAATCTAAGGATATATTTTATATTATTTTCATCTTAATAGAAAGACAAAAACAAAAATATAGAAAAATCCTATATAAAGTCAGAGAACAGAAAGTACTTCCTCTTCTTGATCAAACTTGCTGTATCTTTTAAAAAATATAACATGATCTGCCTTTTCTTTCTCCACCCCACAAAAACCATCCTGATTCAAATTCATCACTTATTACCTGCATTAGCTGGACCCTCCCTTTGCATACCCCATGACATTCAGAGAAATGGATTTTTTATTAAGTGTGCCTGTTCTGTGCTAAATACTATATATCTAGGTTCATCTAATTCCATAATGCTCTCTCAAGCTGTAATTTCCCCTCCTTTTTCTTTTTTTCAAAAGAGAGACTCAAAGAAATTAAGTAAGCTACTTAAGGTCACTTAGCCAGTAAGTGGAAGGACCATGATCTGAACTGAGGTCACACACTGTCCCAAAAAAAAGCACTGCCCCATGGGTACAGGATTTAAAGGAGAGTATTACGGAATGTCTACTATGCCATACTACAATCTTTGAATATCATCTCTCCTAATCCTGAGCAAAAGCATTAGATGTATTTCCATTACAGATAAACCAACATTCAGGGAAATAAAGAGCTTGACTGAAATCACAAAGCCAATAAAAGGCAGAACTAGGATTTAAACACAGATTTGACTTTAGTGCTGTTTCCGCAACACCCTAAATTAAACACTTATCATTCACTGTAATTTTCTGTATTTCATATGACTTATCTCCTCCAAAAGATCATAAACCTCTTAAGAGTAAGGGCCAGGTCATGGGTATTTTTCATCTCCTCCACCATCTAGCACTGTATCTGACCTAGATATAATAGCTGATCTGAACACTGTTCCATTCTCAACATCACTCACTACAGGGTGGATAATTTTAGAAGCACCACCTTCTTCAACTTCCCTGTTGAAGATCCAATAATGCTCCCCTACTATCTCCTATTACCCCCTATTTGTTATATATAACAAATATAAACTCTGTGACCTGATTTCTTTTCCTTCCTTTTTTACTCAGTCGTAACATACATTGCAACTATGTAAAGTGCACTAATCTTAAATAAACAATTTATTGTGTATTCATTCCTTTTTTATGTACATGCACAAATGTAAGCCTAATTCAGATCAATAAATAGAACATTTCCAGAGCACCAGAGGTTCCCTGCCCCTCTGCAGTCAATAATCCACACCTCCCCCAAGGTAAGCACCATTTTAACCCATATAACCATTGATTAGCTTTGACTGCTTTTCATATAAATGGAATCATACACCATATTCTCTTTCGTGTCTGGCTTCCTTTGTTTACATATGTCTGTGAGAGTCACTCACGGTGCTGTGGGTATCAGTAATTAGTTCTTTACTGTTGTGTAGTAGTCTACTGTGTGACCACATCTCAATGTATCTACTCTCCTGGTGATGTGTGACAGTTACTGAGTTGCTTCTAGTTTGGGGTTGTTATGAATAAAGCTGCTAAGAATATTTTATCCAAACCATTTTCAAAGGGATTGAAGGAGTTTACATATTTACCAGGCAAAGTTAGAGAGTTCCAGTTATTCTGCCTTCTTGCCAATACCTGGCATTATACTTCTAATTTCAGCTGTTTTGGTGGGTATGTAACAGTATCTCAACGTGGTTTTCAGTTGAATTTTCCTAATGAGCATGGTCAAATTTTAAAGGCTGTCTGTAACTTCACTCAACTGATGTCCCATCAGAGAACCTGTAATCTGTTCAGGTGTGTCTGTGTCTCTCCTTACTGTCTCCTTACTTCTGCTCTCTTTAAAAACATTCTGATGGTTAAGGCCTCACCCATGTGTATAGGCAATGTTGTTCCAGGTTATTTTTTTCACCTCTTCATTTTTCTCAAACTTGGGAAACAATGAATCACTGGCTAAATTCAACCATAAATTTCACAGGAAAACTGAAAAAAATCAGAAGGTTGATGCCTTCCAGAACTGGGTAGTTAAGTTAAACATGCCAGCTCTGGTTCATGTCTGACTGACAGACCATGAATTCATACCTTTCACAAGCTGATTATAGCAAATCATCACCTATCAATTCCATTTACAGTCAAGGATATTTCTCTCTCTTCTTCCTCTAGTCAAGAGAAGGAAAATGGCTCCCAAACTCCATTATTATTTTCTCATTTCATAGATTAGAAAATTATACATTGGCAAATTCTGTGCTGGCAAAAAACCTCCTAACTTTGTCTTTCTAAATTTCAAGAAGAGATGAACCAAATATGGTAAGATATGGGCAGCTAATCCTACCCATGCTGCACTCATTCTTGGAAGCAGTGGAGCTATCTTATTTTTCAAATAAGACCCTACTAACTCTATGGGCTCTTTCTGTCCCAATAGGCTCAATCAGGGAAGGTGAGACATCTCAGAGGATGACCTGAGCCAAATCCCAAATGGACCCGAAAAGCAGGCAAGAGGGAAGGCTTAGAGAGCAAAACAAAAAAACATAAAGCCTGTATGAAACACACCCTTTTTTGTCTCCTGTCCTTGGACCCCCTCCTTTGCAGAACGCTGATTTCCTCAGCCTGACAGAAACCACCCTCTTCCTTCACTTTACCCTCCTCTCTCTTCAGAAATGTCTGCTGCTTCCTCCTGTTCCAGCATCACCAGGTGATTCATGCCTACCTGCTTTCTTAACATCCCCACCATTTTCACCCTGAAAAACGATGTAGGAAGCTTAGCTTTTGGTACTCCTTTAGGCTGTACTTGAGTAGTTGTTCTGAGCAGCCGGAACTTCTCCAGATTGACTTATAGGGAAATTCATTAGACACCCCAGTCCCTATCTGGCTTCCTCATCCAGAGGGAACACACACACACCCAGGATCCCCCAATTATCAGCCTGCGTCCATATGCTATCATCCAACACTGAGTCGTTTTGTATTTCTCTTTACCATCTCCAATGTATTCTAGCTCTCAGAAAGCCTTGCGTCAGACTGGAACTTGATACCAGGGTTCAAACTTATTCTCTGAAACACAACTAGAAAACTAGGAATAGGCCTGCCTATGGTATTAGGCTTATAATTAAGGATAAAGGGACTCTTAATTCATGTTGTTATGCTAGATAGAGCCCAATCCTATTACATTAACAGAAGCAGATTAACCAACAGAAGAGGTTACGTTTGCCTTTCATTTTATTACGTTCTGCTTTCCAGACAGTACCTTCCTTCACTAGGATTTAGCATGTGTTTTACGAGCCTGAATAGCTGGTCTTTAAACCACCTCTCTTTTAATGTATCATTCTCAGATTGGTTTCTAGTACAGAAAAGAAGAGCCAGGGCATCACATTAGCGATGGTAATCAAACTTTAGGAGTTCAAACTGGACTTCTGCTCCAGCCATGGATTAATGAGCTCTGTTTGGGATTTACGTGGACCAGAGAGTTATTGTATATTTGCTCAGCACCACAGCCAAAAACAGCAACTT